AAACATAATTACATTTCCAAATAAAAACAATAATCTTAGTACCGCTCGTGCTTTCTTTTAATAAAAAAATAATTCTTCTTCGAATAATCTCATACTTCCTCAATTTCTTTTTAGTTGCTACACTTTCCTATTTTGGAAATTTAATTAGTTGCTACACTTTCCATTTTTGACATTCTTTTCTCTCAATCTCTCTCCTACCCACATGGGTCAATCTTATTTTTTCTCTCTATCTTTCTCCTCTTAAAAAACTGCTCAAGAAACCGTGAAAATAAAAGTGTAGCAACTAAAAAAACGGAGGAAGTATAAAGAAAATCGAAGAAAATGAAAGAAGAAATTAATAAACAAATTAAAATTATTCACGGAATCACCCTACCCTTTAGCAATTATAAAGAGAGTGGAATTTAAAGAGTGAAGTACTTGATTCAGTGAGCTAACGAAGATTAAAGACTTTGAATCTACTGGGAAATTGAGAATCAACAATTAAAAAAATAAATAAATAAAAAATTAAAAAAAAAAAAAAAGATGACAATGGAAGGATCGAGAAGGATATTAACAACTTCGGTTTGCACGAGTATGTAACAATGGACACAAGGGAATTGAATACGAGGATCATGGTTGGCAAGTACAACTATGTAGAAGAAAGACCGTTTCACGTAGCCTCAACCCTTAGGAATTGGGATTAAAGCCTCATCCTTGCCATTCATATAATCAAATCATTAGCAATGACAAATGTTTTTTGAGATTTCAAAAAAGGCATATTGACAAGAATCCCGTACGCTAGTTCATATGAAGGTTGTTTTGTAAATTTTTACAGCTTTCAGGACAAAGTTGATTTTCATTTTAAACTGTCAATCTTAACTAATAGAAGCACCAACTTTGCACTAACCCAATCACGAAATACACCTTAGCACAGCAAATTATCAATATTGCTTCTGCGACAATTAGGGGTGAGCAAAAATTTCGGGTACCCAGAATTGTAATCGGTTCCGGTGAACCGGTAGGTCCGGAACTAGAATTGGACCCAATGGTTCCAATTACGGGTAAAAAATTAAAGACCCGGTTACAACCAGTTCCAATTCCAATTCTCAAACTTTTTGGAACTGGAACCGGTTGGTTACCGATTACCCAATATATGCTAAACTAAACAAATTTTGAATAACAAAAATATGTTGAATATATCTAGATAGTGAGATAAAAAATAAAGGAATTATTAAGACCTAACATGAATACAAATAGCTTAATGCATATATAAATATAAGTAGTAAATGCTTAAGATAAAAATAGAAAATAACTATTATAATTTGTATTATACTTTACAAACACAAACAAAATGGGTACCCGGAACTGGAACTTGGTGGTTCAATTCCAGTTCCTAAATTTCAAGACCTGGTTGAATCAACTCCAATTTCTAAATTTTAGGATCCGTTGAACTAATTCCATTTTCGGATCCGTATCCTAAAATTTTGACCGAGTACTCGGTTTGCACACCCCTAGTGACAATAGCTATCAACAAAAGGCCAAATTCATTTTAACAAACAATATTCTCTTTTGTTCTTTACACTTCCCCCATAAGTCCATTGCCTTCGTTCCACACACTTCTACCTTTTTTTTTGGCGCCATTTGTGGCCTCACACTTTCCTCTTTGTGCCTAATTGTTGACTATATAGTACCATGCTATTAAAAAAAAAGGTCTTGTATGCCATTATAGACCAAAAAGGCTACCAAAATTTAGGGCAAATCACTTAACAAAATTCTTTAAAGGTTCTCTAATTCTGTTTCGTCATTATCAAATTTCTCACTCCAAACCTTTTCTTAACAATAGATAAACCATCCAAAGATTCATTGCAGGCTCAATATCAAATCATACTCCCTAGGGAATATTATGTAGTTCCTGCTTTCCTATTTTGGGTTTTTGAAAATCCAAAATATTGTTCATGCTTCAATTTTTAGATACTATGTAAATACCATTATACTTTCATTTTTTTTAACTTTATTCATTATACTTCCTAAGTTACCCTTGAATTTTGCACATGTCTTGTACTTTTTTCCACTTTCTCTAACTTTCGTCTATGACTGTACTTTTCACTTTTATTAATATACGCCATCCACTTTCTCCTATTTCTTAAATACCATGAAAAAAACAGAAACTATATTATGGGAAAGCGGAAGTATTATATTATATCCATCGACAAAAATTAAATTTTGCTATCCACAAAAAAACAAATTACTTATCTTTAATATATAAATATTATCTATTTGTCAAAAAAACAAATTACTTATCTTTAATAATTATTTATTTGTCAACATATATAAATATTACTCACAATGTTATGGGATAGCCCCAATTTCTCATATTAAGAAACATTAACTGTATCTCAAAATGGCAATTGTGTAAATAAAAACAACTTTTTAAATATTTTATAGTTTTTTTTTGGTACTTTTTTTTGCATCTCAATTTTCGTCCTTATCACGGGCTCAAGACTTCACCCTTCTACACTAATTGAACTAGTGTGAATTGCCATTTTTTTCCTTCATCGTTTTGCCCGCAAACCACCATCACCTTTGTTCCCCCTATCTTCTTTACCCTCCTTTGCCTCTTCGCCGCTGAATCAAATATATATATATATATATATATATATATATATATATATATATATATATATATATATATATATATATATAACCTAAAAAATTGGAGAAATTATGGCATGGTTACCCCTTAAGGACAAGGTTTGTCTTCCTCCTCCATTGAAACTGTTCATGTGTTCTGATTTCTCCATTGAAGGTTTTGATTTTCATTAATAAAGGTGAGAGAATGGAGGAAGAACCCATGGTGTTATAATAAGGCCAAAATAAGATTAGTTTACAACATTAATCCCACTTATACACTCAAAATGACACAAATACCCCTTTGAGATACTTATGTTTTATCAACATGAGAAGCATGAATTTGCCCTAATGTTATTTTTTTCTTATCTCTTTTCTAACTATTAAAGTGAATAGAAGTTCATAGTGGATTCAAAAGAATCCTTACTATTTTGAGGGGCAATTTGTAATATCATAGAGCAAACCAGAAGAAGAAATTTATATATCCTTCTAGTATTTTGAAATTGATATAAATGCAGGAAGCATTGTAAAACTTTATATTTTATAACACGGGGAGTTGATTGAATTTGTATCCGTCACAGCACCATTTTGATCGTCACGTGCCTAATAAATATAATTTTGGGGGGGGGGGGGGGGGGGGGGGGGGTTGTCCTTTCCTTTCCATGATATTGATGTGCAATAGGGAAAGTGGTGAGAGATTGTGAAACTGGAGATAGTCCCCTAATCACCCTTCTTAGGTATAATAATGGCAAAAACTTGGAGGAGGAAGACAAACCTTGCCCTTAAGGGGTAACCATGCCATAATTTAAGAGAAGAGTCCAAGGACAAAGTTTAAGGGATAACCATGCCATAATTTCTCCAATTTAAGAGAAGGTTATTTCAATGGAGGAGTCACTCATAATTTAAGAGAAGAGGAGGACTACCCCTTAAACTTTCTCCTTGGACTACCCCTTAAACTTTCTTAAACTTTCTCCTTGGACTCTTCTCTTAAACTTTCTCCTTGGACTACCCCTTAAACTTTCTTAAACTTTCTCCTTGGACTCTTTTCTTAAACTTTCTCCTTGGACTACCCCTTAAGAGAAGAGTCCAAGGAGAAAGTTTAAGAATGTAAAAACAGCAGGCATAAACCATGGCCGGGGAGTCGGCTACAATTCGAATCCGTCCTTTTTTTATAGCCCCTTAGAAAAAAAATTCACTTTATTAAGGCTTCGGTAATAATGCAAATGGGTTAGTTTGCAAGTGGGGACCCTTAAAAAGGAAAGGCATACTATATATGGTATGGGGCAATCTCAAAGGGACACCCCAAGAGGAATATGGGACAATCAAAAAGGGACAGCGTGAATTAATATAGAATCCTGACTAAAACTATAGATGGCGGAAACTGGAGTGGAATTGTAAAGTAATAAAACATTAAAACCTACTACAAGTTTGAGCCGAAATCAAAACCCAGCTCAAACAACTCGATATGGAGGTAAAGATGAAAGTGAACATAAATGGAGAAGAAGCTTTCCTCTTATATTGGATTCTTTGGTACAAGGTCATCTAGAATAGCCCTGGAAAAACAAACATGTACAATAGCCTAACCCGAAATACCCAAACTCTACCCAAAATCATGTGACCAATCACCAGACCTGCCCCAACCCAAACCAATCCAATAATCAATGTGTAATCTAATAGTGATTATTCGTATTAAAATATACATGCTGACAATAGAACAAAAAATGGCCTGAACTGAACCCAAGATCTACCCAAATGAGTCTTACCCAAAGTGACAAACCCTAATTGACACCTCTTACCTAGGGTAGCTATGGATTGTGTCAAACCGGTGGAATATTTAAGGTACAATTAGAGGGATACGCAATTTCCCCTGGAAATCTATTTCACAAATGGCATATCTGGTAACTCCTTTAGCGAGGTTCGAGACAGAGAATAGCAAGTGAGTTCAATCAATTTTGGAAGGATGTTTGGATTGGAGAGAAGCCATTTATTGCTCATTTGAGTGCTCAATACCCCACTTCAGAGATTAAGGCTTTGATTGATTGATTGAGTGCTCCAGAGATCATGTTTTTTACATGAAAATGCAAGGGACTTCCAATTCAGGAGATCACCCCATAACTGAAAAGTAGACGGATTAGTATTTATTTGACCACTTACATTCAGTTAACTGTAGAATATTGCTGGTTCATTTTACCATAAACAGAACAGAACGCTTTAGGCATAAAAACAGGAGTAGTCATCATACGTAATTTACCAATTTCCAAACAAACCTTTATGGTCTATCCAGCTTCAACAAACGGCATATAGCATCAATCAATAATAGTCAACAAATAATAACACCTAATTTGAATATCAAATGTGCACTTGCGCAGGTGACATGATCACCGGGAGCATACCTTAGATGATAGAGGTGGCAGGGAAGCTTGACGTGCAGCCTTCTCAGGCGCCGTTAAATGACGAATCTCTCGGAGCTGGACAGCTATATCCTCCAGAAGTTTTAGTTCAGTTTTTGCTCTCTCCTGGTGTTCAAAAGAGCCCTTAAGCTTCTCTTTCTCCTCCTGAACAGTCCTCAGTCTAGCTCGCAGCCAACATATCTCATCATCTATTTTGAGCCTCTCGTGATCAACTGCTGATATAGAATAGCAGCGTGATTCAGAGACAAAACTTCTATCGGGCGAACTGCACACTGTTGGGAACCGATCAAAAATGTCTGAAGAGCTTCTTCTAATTTCTAAATCACATTGTCTCACAGTATCAGAAAAATTATTGTGTATGAGCAGTGGGCCACCTTCCTTCCCATCAGTAGTTTTGCTGATACTGTGTTTTGAATCGATGATGTGGACATCATGAACACGTGGCTCTACAACTTGCAGTGGCATTTGTTTTCCATCATCAACACCAAACATTGTTTTCTGTTGCAAATAAATGTTACTATTACCCTCCAGAGATCTTGGAATTGTATCCATGGATAACATCCCTTTTTCCTGAATATCTTGATTAGTTTCGTCGTCAATCAAATCTGGAACAACACTTGAACATTCGAGACTTTTCAGCTCATTTTTGTCCACCGGAAGAGCTGATGATTCTTTACACTCAGATACCGTAGAAGTTTTCTTCTGACCATACACAGAAGAATAATCAGGATAGTTGTTTATACTTTCAACATTTTCTCGATTATCAATTGACTGACCGAGTTGCTGTAGAATCAGCATAGGATCAACAGAAGGATCAAGAGCAGAGGCGTCGTTTTGTCGTTCTGTGTCGTTTGACTGACTATCCCATCCATTGTTTACTTGGAACACCTTCCTATAGACTTCAACTTCCTTCTCTAAAAAATGTTTTTCCCTCTCTCTCCTGACAATGATCTCTTTAAGTATATCCATTTCTTCAGCATCATAAACTGATTTTTCTTCTAATATCCTTTGATACTGTCGAGCCTCTATTTCAATGGATGCCTTCTCCTCCTGCAATCGTGAAATCATGGCCATAGCTTCATCTGCCGCAGAAGCGGCAGCAAGTCTCTCTTGCTCTAGCTCAGAGAATAATTCAGCTCGAGCTGCATGTTCTTCCTCAAGAGCTGATTCCAGAATTCTGACAACATTCTCATCTTCACCATCAGCCCCTGCATTGTTTTTAAGGTTCTCAAATAATGTTGCATAGTCATACACGGGTTTACTCTCATCAGCTGCATCATTGGATTCAGAATCTGGTTGTGTCTGACCTGAGACCCAAAGAAAAAGGATATTTGAGCATCTAATAATATAGCAAAGAAAATTTTAGAGCCATCAAAGGTAAAACCAGCGATCAAAAGTACATAATTAGCATAATGTAAGAAAACATATACCCAAAAGAGAGTTGCCAGCACCTTAAGCCATGAAGCAGGCAGTATATAACAAATAGAAAAATCAGTTGATCATTAATTGGAAATTTTGATAGGAGGCGGAGGAAGAGAAAATTACCACAAGAGTTCACAGTGGTTGGGTTCTCTACATTCTCTATCTTACTGGAGTCTGAAGGAGACTGACGAATGGCACGGGAGTCTGACTTTAAGTGATCATAAGATGAGGCAGAAGTAAACTTTCCATAATCAATACTAGCTCTGCGACGTCGCCTAATTCCACACCTTGGCCTTTGAGTTGTAACAGTCTTGCCCTTAATGTCAAATTTAGAAAGGGAGTCAGTACCGGAAAGGGTGTGGTGTGACCTCCGAGGATCAGAGAAAGAACTGTAGGACGCTTCACCTTCTAGATGCAGCACACCATCATCTGAGTAACCTTCCCGGAGTAGCTTCAAATTAAGTTGAGAGTGATCATTCCTGGACAGAATGGAATCAAATGGGAATTTGGATTTGACAGAAAAGTGGAGAGAGGAAATGGTTTCCGCGGGGCAATCAACTAAGAAGCGCTGGAAGCAGGGAGCACGAGTAGGGTAGCCAAAGAGGCCATTGCAAGGGCAGGGTAGGGTTAGCCCTAAGAGGGCGAGAAATTTAGATAGGAAAAAGGCAATAGCAGAGCAACAGAGGAGGAAGTAGGCAATAGCCAAATCAAGAAAGGCACCCACTAATCTAGAAAAGGTCCATGAGTGAACAATAACTTGGCATGCCATATCAAACTATGCTGTTTTACAGTTGAGACAACAAAGATGAGCTGAGTTCAGACTTGTGAGCAGTGATACAAAAATCAAACTAATCACAAAACTACAAATATCACATCGGAAAAGAAAAGGAAAGAAAAAGTTTAGGGGTAGCTAGCATATTGTGGATACAGAATCATTAATTATAAATGTGATTGGGTCGTTTAAGAGTTGTGCGAGACTAATGCAGAAACAAATCAAATTGAATTTCATTCCATTCTAGCGAGTGAGTATGAAATTGGAATCCCTGAGGCAGGGCAGGAGAGAAAGGTTCCATTAAAGGATTATAAATAAAAGCCTGCAACACATGAGCAACCAATTTGACTCAATTATTAAATTACATCACAATTTATTCTTCTCAATGTATATATTGAACAAACTAAAATTCTACCAATAAATTGCTCGTTATAAGCTTTCATAACTTCAACAATTATATACCAATAGTTCAATAATCCATCTTAGAATTAGATGAACCCAGAATTTTACTATTATCAAAATTGAATTGACAATAGGAAACCCTAGATTGCATATTTGATATTCTAATCTTCGCAAATTAAAATCTTACCTCATAAGCTGTTTCAACGGTGGAGAGAAACCTCAGAGGCCGCTTCAATGGAGATTTCGGAGTTCAATAGATGAGAAGGAACGAGAGGAGCGGTGCTACCTCTGCGTAAATACGAAAGGGGATAAAAATGAAACCATTTGAGGAAGATTATGACACGTATCAATGTCCACGTCGTATAAAATACGGAGTATCAATAATCAGAATTCATTTTTTGTTTTTTTTTCTCCCGCAACGAGGCTTCATGCCTTCATGAGTAGAAAATATGTTGGGGTGGCTAGTGCACGAGTCATACGTATGTTCGGCAAAATAGCTGTGAAGGTAGCTGTAGAGGCGATAGCTGTCAGCTGTCAACAATCTGTTAGCTGTGAAGATAAATAATTTAGATATGAGGATTCGGTAAGTAACAATTGACTAGCTGTTACATATACAAATCAACATTTTATTTTTAAAACTATAGATTAAATCCAACCTTTGTATGTCATCTTCTTTTAACAGATATTGACTTATTAGTGACCTGTTTTTATAGGTTATATGTCACGTGTCAAAATTTAACTACTCTCTCCGTCCCCGAAAGAACAACCCATTTGGGTTGATTACGCGGGTATTTAGAAAGTTAAATAAAAAGAAGTAAAAGTATATTGAAAAGATAAATTTACATGGAATTTGTAAAAAAATAAAGAGAGAAAAGTAATAAAATTTGAATTTTATATGGGGAAGCTAATTTTGCACAAATATTATTGCAAATTGGTGGGTGTTTTAATGCAAATGGGTCATTCTTTTTGGGACTAAAATTAGGCCAAATGGGTCGTTCTTTCGGAGACGGAGGTAGTAATTTATTTCATTTTTTTAATAAAAAAAACAAAAATACAGGTTACATGATAAAAATAAAAAAAATTAAAATAAAAAAAAAACATCAACCAACCCCCATTGTGAAACCCTAAACCTTACCCTAGCCACCACCAAAATTCGGCCGGCCGCCCTCCTTAGCCTTCGAAAATGGTCGGGCGACACCAGGGATGTGTTTAGGGGGGTTTTCGAGGCTAGGGTGGGGATCATCAAGGTGGTTAGGGAGTTTGGTTAGGATTTTTTGGGGCTTGGATAATGGAGTTTACGGCGATTTTCAGCAGTAGAGTGGGGTTTTCGGTGGCTAGGTGGCGTTTCAGCAAATCTGCGGTGGCTAGGTGGGGTTTTCAGGGTGGTTAGGAGGTTGCGTGCGATTTTTCAGGGCTAGGACGGAGTTTTCAGTGGGTGTTCGATCGGCAGTTAGGTGGGGTAATGGCTTTGCCTATGGTGGTTATGCGTGGTTTCCCAGGTGGGTTTTGGGTCAGGGGGTGATTTCGGGGGTGGGTTTTGGTCAGCGGGGTGGATTTTGGTATTAGGGGGTTTCAGCCAGCCGTTTTCAGGGTTATGCGTGGTTTCCCAGGTGGGTTTTGGGTCAGGGGGTGATTTCGGGGGTGGGTTTTGGTCAGCTGTAATACCCCGTATTTTTAATGTATTTTATAAATTATTTATTTAATTATAAAATATATTTTGGGTCAAACTATTTTAATTATTGAATTATAGATAAAGCAAGTATTTATATTTGGGTCAATAAGTATTTAATCCAAACGTAGCCCATCTTTATTATGAACCCAATCATCCTATTTTTACTTTTGGGCCACCTACTTCATCATTTAAATCCATTATTTTTATGAAGCTCAAACCTACCCTAACCTACTCTACACTATAAATACTCTACTTATCCCCAAAATTTTACCACCCAAAAAGGTCAAATGGTCAAGGTAAGCTATTTTCTTTTTATTCTTTCTTTCTTCTTTTCCTTTTTCCTTTTCTTATTCTTTCTCTTTCTTCTTGCATTTACGTGGGTTTTGGGTGACATAAACCCACCCAAATTTCAGCCTTGTTGCTGCCACATCATCACACCGACCACCACCTGCCGGGCTCCGTCGACCACCGCCGGCGACGTGGCTGCCGCGCGCCCAGCCGGAGTTCCATCCTCCACTTCTTGCTTTCTCTCTCCTCTTCTATTTTAATGGTGGGTTATAATTATATATGTGGGTTTTTTATTTTAATAGTTCTAAATGTGTTTATTTAGTATAAAATACATGTTATAATGATTTAAAACTATAATTTCAGATTTTTATTATTGACATTATTTTCAGATTTAATAAATTATAAAGTAAGGGTTTTTAATTCATTCAAGACTTGATTTTTAGGGTTTTTATGAACAATTGATTTAGGGCTTTTATAGTAATGATGTTTTGAAATTTTGGTGATTATAACTACTTATTAGTTTAAATTAATTCCAGATTATTTTGAACACGTAAATTCATGTTTTAATTATTAGATTTCCGTTCGTTAATATTAATCTCGTTTTAATCCCGATCAGGTTCTAAACTCCTCTAATTTTGATATAAAAAAAAAGTAGTGTTTTTCGAGTGGCCAAATTCAGCCTCTAAATACGATTTTCGAGCAGTTTTTGATTTTTAACGAAGTTTTTTTTTTATGCTTTAAATTTTATCTTTGAGTTTAAAAGGGGTAAGAGATAATTTAATGTTTCTATGGATAATTTAAGTATAAAGATGTATTTTGATGAAGTTTTAAAGGATTTTTTATTAGTTTAAAATGTTGGAATTTTATTTAAAGTAGTATAATTGTGATTTTTAATAAAAGGGTGTGATTATCCATTAAAAAGGAGTTTAATTAGGGGTTTTTAAATAATTTTCAGATTATTATAAGTTATTTAAAGTGAGTTTAAGTTGTTGGAAATTGTGTATATAAGGGTAATTAATATAGTATTATTGTCCCTTTATGTAGGAGACTTGGTTCAGGAATTGTTGTAGTGTAATCGGCTACTTTAAGGGTTTATTTGAGGTACGTACGCGTACTTAGCATATTTTGATGATGTACAATCATTTTAGGTTTGATTTCAATCAATTACAAGTAGTATCATGCTAAGGTTTATGTATGGAATTGAGAATTTATGGTGTTTGTGATTGAATTGTGAAGCATGAATTATTTGTGATTGTTATGGATTTGGAAAATTATATTTTGGGCATGTTGTGTTTGAACCACATTTTTATTTATGGCATGTTAGAAGGCATGATTAATTAAACTACATGTTTAATTATGTTTGGAATATTGAAAAGGAATTTTATTATGGTTCAAATAATTTTTATTGATGCTTTAAGCATGAGGAAGGAGCTATATAAGTGTCTATGTACACAAGGAATAAATAGTATGTTGGTGCCTTTGTGCACTTAAGGTGTTTTTAACACCGAGGGATAGGATTTTTGGCGCATTATGCGTTTAAGATGTCTTTGACACTGAGGTAGAATTAAAAAGGGTTCAACAATAAATAATATGTGGTCACTAATCATTCAAGAATTAAATTGGTATGTTTGTTTGATTGTATAATTATTGTTGATTGACTTATTATGCTTTGAGAGTCATCACCAAGTCTAATAATCTGTAAATAACGTAAAGTGAAAGAGATTACGCACCAAAACTCTTGGAACGTATATACCTTGAGTATGAACAATGGGGGGAGTTATGGGGTTTTATATTTAACCATAACTTCCAATGGAGTACATGACATTGTATATTCCTTTTTTATTATTTATTATTATGCGCAGGAATTCCGCCACCTTTGTGTGGTTTTGTCGCTGGCACGGTTAGCTCCCGTGCCATTTAACCTCAAATTTATTTGGGAGAGGTTAATAGGTGGAAACCCGTTCGATGCGTAATCAATGCAAAATGAATTAATTAGTGTCTAGTCATTGTGTCTTGTTGATTGGTGTGTGTGCTTGTGAACAGGTGCAATGAGGTAAGTGTGTGTTGATAGGTGAAAGCATGTTAGTGTGTTTAATTACGCTTATGTACTCAGCTTTGCTGATTGTGTGTGTTTGTGTGTTTTGGCCATGTCTTTTATCTTGGCCCTATGATGACCCATTTTTAATGGAGAGTAGTGGAGACAAGTAGAGATAAGCTTTTCAGGTATTGAGGCATATTCATGATGGGGCACGAGTGAAGAGCGAATCATGCTAGTTTATATTAGTTACAATGTGTTTCTACTTTAATTATTTATGCCAATATTTATATGTAAAGCTAACATCAAGTTTGGATTTGGTTTGGTTTTTAATAAGGGCCTTTAATGGTTCTAAGTTGTAGGTTGATTTTCATTTTACTTCGCTCATTTTGGTTTTAACTTTACTTTCGTTTGGTTAGCTTTTCAAGTTGTTTTGTTTTGGAAAGGTTTTTAAAATTAGTCTTCCGCTGTGTATCTTTGATATTTGCCTTAACCGTTTTCACGGTGGCGGTAATGTCTTAGATATTCCTATTCAAAGTTTTATACAGGGCAAAACAAGTGTTTTAAAATAAAGGAATTTCTAGGGTGTTACATCAGCGGGGTGGATTTTGGTATTAGGGGGTTTCAGCCAGCCGTTTTCAGGGGTTTTAGGCGGTGGCCGATCGGTTTTTGGTGGGGTTAGAGTAAGGGTTAGGGTTTCGCGGTGGCTGGTGGTGGTGGGTTTTTTCTTTTACATTTTTAATTTTTTACCTGTTTTATTTTTATTTTATTTTTTGTAATTTTTTTTTACTTTGACCAATTATTGATGAGCGACATGTGGCTTTAAAAAAAATAAAAATAAAACATTTTAACTTGTTTAATAGGTTGTAGGGGAAAAAAGTTTGTTCGGGTGTTAAAAGAAGATGACATACAAAGGTTGGATTTCCTTGTAATAACTAAAAGGTGGGATTGTTATTGTCCGACCACGCAATGGTGGGATTATTTATTTCCATTTATTCTAATAAATACAAAGTATCTTTTAAGGTATGTTAACACACTTTTTATAAGTGTTAAAAAACAATTAACTTCAATGAGGGCAATAAAATAAATAAATTTTAGAAGATATAATTGTCTAAATATTACTATTATTAATAAAAGGGGCGTTTAATTCGAAGAATTTAGGTATGAAGCACGGAGTATGAGTTTTAGAATGACTAAAACTCACTCTATATGCTTGGTTGTCAAAAGCATGAATTTTAAACCATTACTTCAAACCCATGAGGTAATGGAGGGAAGGCGGGTTTGGCTCATTCCATTTGCTTAGGTATCAAATAAAATGAGAGAATAGTGAGATATTCCATTATTCCAAAATTGAACCAAACACATGGTATTAAATATTAAGTTCCTAGCTACCC